CCCCCCCCCCGTGCACACGTGTACGTTCTAAGCGGACGACGCAGCATCCCAATAAATATTCCAATTTGGACCTAGTTTACACCGTTAAATCAGTCGGTGCGGACTAAACATTTGATACGTCCCTGTTTATATCGATTAATTTGAAAGCAGGTCCGGTTAGATTTTTAGTAAAAATCTAGATAAAGTTCTATTGCTGCGAACCGAGCGGTAGTGCTACTGAATGCATCCAATCTGAGCTGCTTTCGCGAGAAGATCAAAATGATCCGGATAAAAATGACCCTGTGCTATGATTGGTCAAATCTGGAATTTCATTGAAAAAAATTCAATGTGACGCTACGAAATTTCAGATTTGACCAATCATGGCACAGGGTCATTTTTATCCGGATCATTTTGACCCTCTCGCGAAAGCAGCCCTGAATTTAACAATGGTATGCGAATACGCGTATCAACGTGGTCTGAGGGTGCTTTCACATGGAGCGTAAGTTGCGTAGCGTAACCTGCGTATCGCCAATCACAGGACTAGTTCAACGGAATTATTGAAACTGTTCTATCAGCATGATCCTGTGATTGGTGATACGCAGGTCACGCTACGCAATTTACGCTCCATGTGAAAGCACCCTAAAGCCCGTATCAGACTACGGATTGAGATTGGGATTAGATTGAAATTTGACCAATCAGAGTAAAAGTTACTGAACTTAAGATTAGTAAACTTTACTGTGATTGGTTAAATTTCAATCTAATCCCAATCCCAATCCGTAGTCTGATACGGGCTTAAGGGCCATCGCACACAAAATTGCATAGTTGCATATGCATAGCACAAGACCGTCTGGACCAATGAGCGCGTTATGTGAATCAATATGGCGACTCAATGTTCGATGTTCATTGGTTCAAACGGTTTTCATGCTATGCACATGCAGCTATGCAATTTTGTGTGCGATGGCCCTAAAGCCCGCTGCAGACGATGCTATTTTTCCTGCTGGATTGCTTGCGATTTACTAAATTACTAGGAATCCTGAGTGCTGAATGGTGCAACGATAGTAATTTATTAGATTGCAAGCAATCCAGCAGGAAAAATAGCATCGTCTGCAGCGGGCTTTAGTCTTTAACGCATCGCTGGCCGCTATCAGCGGTTCTGCTTTGCAACAGTTGCAGGCTTAAGTTCGGCTGAGCTTAGGAGCGTGCGCCAATCAGATTCGCGATTTTCGCAACAGATTCGTTACAATGGCCGCGTTCAGCGGGGAGAGTTGAGCGCCTCGCGCTGATTGGGTTATACCAGTGAACTCTATACATACTGGAATGAGTGATCTATAGTTCTGGCTGTTGCCGAGAGAGGTTGGGTGCGTTGGGTGAATCCTTGTCTCCTTCTAGTACTACCTGATTGGATAATTGCATATAAGTGACGCCCTTCTTCTCGTCATTTATATGCGACTATCCAATCAGGTAGTACTAGAAGGAGACAAGGGGTCTGTTTTTTATTGCACTCCTGAACTAGTGCACACTGGTGCAATGAGTTGGAATGAGAGGTAATCTATTTGTTTCATTTTAACTTATTGCACTAGTTCAGTAGTGCAGTAATAAAGAACAGGTCCCATGATTCACCCAAACGCACCTCTCTCTATTTGGTTAGACGTGGCCGTATTGGAGCCGACTAGGATCCAGGAGCCATTAACAACAAGAAGAAGAAGAAGCACCTCTCTCTCGGCAACAGCCAGAACAATATATATCACAATAATAGATCACTCATTCCAGTATGTATAGAGTTCACTGGGTTATACTTTTAGATCTGTGCTATGATAGAGAACTGTCCTAGATTTTTAAAGGATAATCCAATCGGTGCAAGCGCTCACTGAGCAGTTTTCTCCGCTGAACGCGGCCATTGTTCGCAATGGCTGCGTTTACCGAAAACTGCTTCGCGACAGATGCAAAATTCGTGAATTTGATCGGAGTTTGCGCTTAGATATGTAATCCAAAGTAAAAGTGGGCGTAAAGGCGCGCAAAACAGTCTCTCGAAACAGTATCGAGTGAAACGCCGGCGTGGCCGCTCTCAGGTTCCACTCTGTTCTCACTCTCTTGCTCGAGTCTCCATTGTTTCCCTTTACGCTCGCCCTCGCGCCATTGGCCGGTTCGTCTCTTCTAAAACTCGTCCGAACCTGTCCAAAGTGACGATCTCGTGTAACCTGTTCGTCGTTCTCTGGTATGTACCGTGCAATTAATGGCGGCTACACGAGTTATTGGCTAAGCTCGACAGAAAACCTCGTTGTGCAACTACTGTAAAGTTCATTAATCTGATTAGCGTATGCTCTTAAATCCGCTCAAGATTAAGAGAATACGCCAATCAGATTCACGAATTTTGCAACAGTTGCAGAGTAGCGTTTTCCGCTGAACGTAACCGGTTATTGCGTCATAAAGTATAACAAAAGGGAAGCCCGGTATTGCCGGATACTGCGAACCCAGGACAAAAAGCGACGCTCGACGTAGCCGATTCGGTAAAGGTTTTATTCCAGGGAGAAACCGCTGAGGGCATTAGTTTGAGCATTGGGCCTTACTGGGGCATTATAAAGATAAAATAAGATAAAGTAATGCCCACTGGGCATCAGTGAGCATTGGTGTACAAGATTTTGGTCAGCGGTTTCCCCCCCGGTCTTATTGTTTTGTGCGTAGCGATGTTGTTGCGTACGTCGGCGGCGACGCACGTTAAATATTCTATAATATGTAATACACTTAATTTTTTCTCCAACGATATACAGTCTATACACTTGATAATAATATATAATGTACACTTGCATAGACAAAGTATAACAATATATAATGTGCACTTTGTGTATTTTTCCCATTAAAGTAGTGTTCATTTTTTTCCCAAAAATTGAAACAACGCACACATTTGTTGTTAAATGCATTTTACATAAAAAGTATTGTCAGTTTAGACCACTTAATTTTTCCTCAGGGCCTGAGCAGAATGGTTGTCTTATACCTTTAAGGTCCAGTTTCACAAACATCGGTTAACTGCCAGAGTTCAGTCAACTTCCTATCTTTCTCTATCTTGTTATCCAAGAAGAGACAGAGGATCAATTAACCATGGATTAGCGGTTAAACAATGTTTGTGAAACTGGCCCTTAGAAAGCCTTAAGACAATGTTTTATGTTTTAAATCTTTGTCTTGAGGCAACGAACAATAACTGTCTTACGTCTTAGGAGTACAAGACAGCCATTCTACTCAGGCCCTTACACTCACCTTCTATTTTCTCTCTGTTGTCCCTTTCCGCATCTCGGCGTTATTTAATAATTTCTCCAACGCACTTTCAGGCAAAAATGTCTCAGCGAGGCGGAGGAAGAGGGCGAGCGAGCCATGGACGATCGAAGCAGCCGACTGCTCCCAAGCAGGAGCAGCAGCAGCAGCAGCTTCCGCATGCTCAGCCGTCGACGAGCACCGGTGCTGTTCGCAGACCGGGAACGCAGCCGGTAAAGCATTTATTGCGAGATATTAACTTACAATTGCGTGAGACTTGTCATTTAACTAGAAAGGAAATGTATCCCAGGAGATGTAGCGTCAATTCTTCACAAGATTCGTCTCATCGCATGTACCTCTTACTGTTTCCTATCTTACAATTTTTATGCGACGACAATATCAATTATGTTTAACACACACACGCACACACAAAATAATAAAGCGTGCGTGATAATAACCTCTCATCATTATTATGTACAGAAATGTTCTTCCTTTCAAGTTTCTTTTTCTCTGTTGCGTGAACACGTTTTCCAAAGACCATTTCTATTGCTTAAGTATGTGTTGTACGTACACTCCTGACGAAGAGGCACATCAGTCCTTGAAAAAAGTCCTCTGTTTTAATTCACCTTACAGCGAAATTTAAAAGTACCTGTAAGGTGGATTTTTAATTCGTAATAAAATGTTAAACGCAAATTTTTGTATCTGCATTCAAAGCAGGACACTGGCCTGATAATGCAACCAAGGTTAGTAACGGTACGAGGCATTTGCGGCTTGACTTTCTCTGAAGGTTCACATACAGGGATTCATACGGAGCGTACGAATCTGATTCCAGTAACTGAGCTGGACCGACTCTTTTTTTTCTAGAAATATATATGTAATTGCATTTAAAGAAAGTTGCATCCGCAACGTCGGCGCGTTAAAAAGAAAATCACAGAATGTCTCGTGATTTAAAGAAAGAGCTGTAACCCAGCTCAATGACTGAAATAATCCGTTATATTAATAATATTATTAAAACGTAATTGTTCATAGAAGCACTTTAGAAGTTTGCTACTCGAATTTTACGCTATAAGAAACATAAGCTACGCTACATTGTAACACTGATCACATTCGTCAAGAGTTGGTTTATGTTAAATGCCGCTTCTGTGTAATGTATGGAACGCAATTTAGTCTTGTAACCGGTAAGACTTTCATTCTGTAGCTCTTTATTCTTTCTTTTGCTCTCTTTTTTTTCTTGCTGTGATATGCTACATAGTTTATAGAGATACACGTTACAAAGCGGGTTTACAGAATGTCGCTTATAACTTGGCGCGAGACACTACCGTGTCTCGTGATACACCTCTTAACATCTATAATGATAAAAATTATTTCTTCATCTTCTGTCAGAGCACTGGACGCGGCGTGGTACAGCGTGTTGGCGAAAAGGGCGATAGCACTACGGTTGCACAGATAGGCAGAGGCGTGGAAAGACTCGAACTACCTCCCGGTACGTTTCATTATTTCAGATTTGATCTATAGAACACAAACGCGATACATATACTTTGTTATACATACACGAAACTTTCGCATTTTTCATTTTTTTCCCAATACTTTCCTTTTAAGGTGTGCGATTGTTAACATATAAAATTTTTATTCATACTTTTTCTCAGATTATACGAGGCTAACACCGATGCATGCATTTGTGATGGTGCAATATAAGCGATACAAGTATATGCTTTGTCTGACACAGTATTTGAAGGATTTTTTTTTATGGCTTTACCTACATTTTTAATCGAAATACTTTAGAAATTTGTGCTGTTATAGATGTGCTTGTCTTTCGATAGTAAATAAGAGATAAAATAACAAATATATTTGCTTAGCCGGTGCCAGTGGAGATGCTAGTACCAGTGCCGGCCCAGCAAGCACCGGAGTTGTTGTCTCATCTGGACGAGGCGGAACCCGCGGCAAGAGAATGTTACCTTCAGATATATTTGTTATGAAGCCGAGCCACGTGGAGGACAAAAAAGGTGAGCGGTAACAATACTTTAATAAGTCAATCATCTGACTTATTAATTTAGCAAACTGAATTTATTTTAACTGTCTTCCGTATATTTTTAATATCTTATTGTGCGCTTATTCTCTGTAGAAAATTATTTCAATCATGTTTCTTCTTCATGGTTCTTTCTGATTATTCTTTGACATTTATATTCTCCATGTCCATAAGTTTCCCGCCATCATTTATCAGCATTTATTAACTTTCGGGAATTCTATTTGATGCTAATATTTAAATATACAGGGTGGTCCATTTTAATCGACAATCGGAAATATTTCGTCAGGTAAGCCAGATCGAGAAAAATGTTTCATAAAAGTTGCATGGTATTAAGGGTAACATAAGGTGGTACAATTGGTTTGACCTTGGATAATCATTTGAAGGTCACGTTTTTTTTCTGCGATTAAAAATAAAAAGTTATATGGGGTGGGACATTAAATTGGGACACCCTGTATATGTATATGTTTTTATACATATAAAATTTTCATTTTGTCTTGCAAAAAAATTAAATTTTCTTACACATTCTTCAGGTTTCTCTGGCACCAAGGAAATGATAAAAGTTAATTACTTCAAGTTAATTCGGGCGACAGATTGGGCTCTATATCAATATCGCGTTGATTTTTCGCCTGAAGAAGATCGCACAATGGTGCGTAAAGGTCTACTCAGGATCCATCAGAAGAATATCGGCGCATACATCTTTGACGGCACTGTAATGTACACAAGTTGCCGATTACCCGATGTAGGTAGCAGATATACAGCTTTGCACGTTGCAACATGTATCTCTTGAATGTCGTTTACGATATCTCCTCAAGCGTATTTTCTACAATCGAAACATTTTAGCGAATGGTGTTCACTTCGAGTCGACAATCGGATGGAGAGATTATAACTATTACCGTACGTCTTGTCAGCGATATACTAGTAGGCGATGCCCAGTACATCCAATTTTTTAACATAATCATGAGAAAATGTTACGAGCATCTGAAGCTGAAGTTGGTCGGTCGCAATTATTTTGATCCTGTTAACAAGGTAAAAATAAATTTACAAGTACGTTGTCGTACAGAGAAAACTCGATGCTCACGAAATAAATTGGTCCGCCATGTTGATACAGATCGTACTGCCGCAATGCGGATTGGAATTGTGGCCAGGTTACTTATCATCTATTCGTCAACATGAACGAGATATCTTGATGTGCGTCGAGATAACTAATAAAGTTATGCGATTGGATTCATTATTGAAGATCTTACAATCTTGTTACGAGAGAAACCCGGGCAATTTCAGAGTAAGTTGTATTTTCTCTTAGAATTGCTTAAGGTTCTTGCTGATATTTTTGTGTGTAAAAAGTAACTGTCTTCCAAAGACTTGATTAGTATGTTACGTCATTGTAGCTGCT